CTGAAATCCCAGCTACTCGGGAGGCTGAGGCACAAGAATTGCTTGAACCCGGGAAGTGGAGGTTGCGGTGAGCCATGATCACATCACTGCACTCCAGCCTGGGTGACAGAGCAAGACTCCGTCTCAAAAAAAAAAAAAAAAAAATCGTTTGGCCCTCAAGGACAAGAGGACACTTCCTAAGTCTGCGGAGCCGGCCAAGCTCAGGCAGTGGGTTAATCTCCAGAAAGACAAAAATGAGCCTCTCGGCCCGTGGGGGTGAGGTCCCTTCTGTCTGGAGACAGGCATTCAAGGCCGGAGTCTCTACGCGTTCAAAAATAGATTCCCGAGTGTATTCATTCATTGCCTCGTGCCTGCCAAGGGAAAGTATTTCCAAAGTTAGCTTTGAGGTTGCCATCACAGAGCAAAATGTCCGTTCTTTTAGTTTCCCGTGTGCGTTTCGTGCACTCTGCTCAGTGCAGATGGCCGCGGACTTGGCAAGTGACCGTCCGTCCTGAGAGCTTAGCAGCGTTTTAAAGGACTGAAGAGACTTTTGGTCGTCGCTCAAAGCGTAATTTCACAGCGCCTGAAGCTGCCGCGCTGCCACGAGTAGAAACATCTAGTGGGCTTCAGAAAAGTGTTTTGTCTCCTTTTACGGTTTTTTAGAGATGGGGTCTCACCCTGTGACCCAGGCCGGAGTGCAGGGGCGCGATCATAGCTCACTGAGGTCTCCCACTCCTGAGTAGCTGGCACTGCAGGGAGCGCCACCGCGTCTGGCTAATTTTCTATTTAATTAATTTGTTTGTTTATTTATTTATTTTTGAGGTGGAGTCTCGCTCTGTGGCCCAGGCTGAAGTGCAGTGGCTCCATCTCGGCTCACCCAACCTCCGCCTCCCGGGTTCAAGTGATTCTCCTGCTTCAGCCTCCCGAGGAGCTGGGATTAGAGGCGTGCACCACCACGCCCAGCTAATTTTGGTATTTTTAGTAGAGATGGGGTTTCACCGTGTTGGCCAGGCTGGTCTCCAACTCCTGACCTCGTGATCCTCCCGCCTCGGCCTCCCAAAGTGCTGGGATGACAGGCATGAGCCACCACACCTGGCCAATTTTTTTATTTTTTGTGGAGATGACGTCTCAACATGTTGCCCAGGCTGGACTTGAACTGGTCTCAAGCGATCCTCCCACCTCGACCTCCCAAAGAGCTGGGATCACAGGCAGCCACCATGCCTAGCTGACTATTTTCCTTTCCATAAAAGTATTATTTCCTTGATACTGACTTGGTCACTTGAGAAAGCCGTACGAATGTTTTGGTTTGAGAGCAATGGAGGCTACGCCCCATCCACCGCAGTGGTGAGGTCAGGCTCACGGTGCTAAGATGCTGATGGCAGTGGCCCATCTAGAGTGGCTTCTGGCAGGATGCCGGCGGCAGCGGGAAGGCGTGGCTGGGCCTCCCATTCCATGGGTCAGGTAGGAGCTCAGACCTCCCTGGATGCTGCTGCAGCTTCCCTGGCGCAGCTCCAGACGTGGACGTGTCTATGCCCTTGGGGGCCTGGGAAGCCCCCTGCCCTTCGAGGGGTTAGAAGTGCCTGCCCCCGCCACCTCGCTCCTCCTCACTCCCCGCGCCTGCTCCAGTCATGGAGCAAGGTTGGGGCCAAGCCCAGGTGCTGTTGCAGACCACCGGGTGGGTGCACACTTGGGGCAGCCCTGACATGCCAGCCCCCCGGCCTCAGCCCCCTCCGGACTTTGGGCGCTGTTGAACATGGGAGGGAAGCCGAGGGGGCTGAGGGTGTCTGCAGGCAGCCCTTGGCACAAACACGGCTGGGTGCCGTGAATGATGGGGAGGCAGACAGGCTCCTGGGTGCAAGGGGGCAGGTTCCCGGGGAAGCCACCCCATGGAGGGGGCCTGGGGCCCAGGCTGCCAGTCCTGCGACTGGAAGGGAACTCATGGTGCTTTTACTGTCAGAGTGGGGAGGGAGTCCAGGCTGCCTGTGGACCAACTGGCATGCGCTTCGCACCCCAAGACCATAAAAACCCCAGACTCAGCTGGGGCAGCCCGGACGTCCGGATGCTGCAGAGAGCTACCCTCTCTGCCGAGAGCTGAACGCTGGCCGGGATGCCCTGCCTGTGGAGAGCAGCCACCCACCACGGACCTGCTCCAAGCTGTTCTAACGTTCAGGAAAGCTCCTCATTGAGCTCAGCCTCCACTTGTCTGCATACCTCATTCTTCCTGGACGCAGGACAAGAATTCAGCAGCCACAGAGGTTTCCAGCCAGAAAAGCAGCATCCCAGAGGTCCCATGACAGTGCCCAATCAGTGCCTGTGCCCAGGAGAGAACAGAGGCAGAGACAGGAAGCTCACTCCGTGTGCCCACTGGGCCTGGCAGCAGACGTGTGGTCGGCCTAGGAGAACCTCGTACTGTGAGGGTCAGAGGCCTGCTTGGGGGTCTGTCTGAGCCTCATCGGCAGGGCAGGTGGCATCTGCAGAGCGGGTGCTTCAGGCATTCTTAATGCTGCCGGCGTCTTCTGTCCTCTGAGTCACTCTCCTTGGATGGGGTGACGTTTGCTCTGATGTTGGCTTTGTCTAATCTCCAAAGTGGCGATGGCCAGGCTCTGTGGACAGAGCGTGCCGTTGAGCAGGAGACACTGGAGGCTGTGGAAAGCCTGGACGCCATGTCACTGGGGCTCTGGTGGGGACACTGTGGGAAGAGCCTCTGGAGTCCAGGAGGGCCCCGGGGGAGGAAGCAGAGGGCAGCTGGGGACGGGGGGTGATGGGAAGGCGCTGCACCAGCGTGCTCAGAGCAGGCGGGAGGGGCATGCACGCGCTCACGAGGACGGGGCCCGGAGCTTCTGCAGTGCCCAGGCCTGCCTGAGGACGTGGGCAACCAGCTGTCAGAGCGAGCGGGAGGCCACTGCAGCACCCCGGCTGCACCCTCGCTCTGCCCGACGGGAGACCGGGAGCTCGGCACGCCGTCTCCTGGGACGCAGGGGGCTTGCAGCCAAGTCCAAGGGGTCTAGACCCTTCGAGCGGACAGACGCCGCTGGAGACACGGGGCCCGGCAGCCTCATGTTTTCAGAGGAGGTGTTTCTGAGCACTCACTGGTTGCGTCGCAGGCTTCTCTGGAAGGAGCTGCAGAGGCCGAGCGCACCGTGACACTCCCAGGGCGAGGGCTGGTACCCGCCTTGGCGCCGCCCCCCCCTCCGGCCTCTCAGCACCTCTTCCCATCAGAACGCTGACGCCCCGTTCAGCCACACGTGTCATCACACTCAGCATCTGACCACACCTGGGGGTGATGCCCCGGCTTGTCCCTTCTAGGTTCAGTGCTCTGAGAGATGCTCTCAAGCAAATCCTCAAAGGCTTGTCATGTCTCCCCCCTAAGCAGTGTGGGTTCCTGGGATTATCCGTGCCATCGTACCTATTTCTAGGAAGGCGGCGCTCCCACCTGGCATTCTCCAGCCCCTCAACCAAAGCCTCTTTCCACGTTCTCAGTGACAGACCCGGTGCTCGTCCAGACGTGCTAGGAGTGAACACAGGAGCTTTTTCTCAAAGAAGCAGAGCATTGGTGTCTGGGGGGATGGGGAGAGGCGTTTATTTACCGTGGCCGGGCGCCGCGGCTCATGCCTGTGATCCCAGCACTTTGGGAGGCCGAAGTGGGAGGATCGCTTCAGCCTAGGAGGCCGGCCAGCCTGGGCAACACAGCCGTGCCCTGTCAGTTTGCCAGGTGTGCTGGCGTGCCCGTGAGCCCGGGGCGGGGGGCTGCAGTGAGCTCTGGTCTCACTACTGCACCGAGAGAGAGACCCTGTCTCAAAAAGTTTTTTTAATTGTAGTTTTTTTTTTTTTGAGGCAGCTTCTCACTCTGTCACCCAGGCTGGAGTGCAATGGTGTGATCTCCGCTCACTGCAACCTCCACCTCCCAGGTTCAAGCAATTCACCTGCCTCAGCCTCTCAAGTAGCTGGGATTATAGGTGCCAGCCACCACGCCCGGCTAATTTTTGAATTTTTAGTAGAGATGGGGTTTCACCATGTTGACCAGGCTGGTCTCAAACTTCTGACCTCAAGTGATCCAGCTGCCTCAGCCTCCCAAAGTGCTGGGATTACAGGCGTGAGCCACTGTGCCCAGCCTTTATTAGTTTTTTATGTTAGAAGAAATGTTCCTGGCATGATGGCCCATGCCTGCACTGCCGGCACTGGGAGGCTGAGGTGGGCAGATCACGTAAACTCAGGAGTTCAAGACCAGCCTGGGCAACATAGTGAAACCCTGTCTCTACAAAAAAATGCAAAAATTATCTGGCCACAGTGGCTCACGGCTGTAGCCGCAGCTACTCAGGAGGCTGCGGCGGAAAGATCCCTTGAGCCCGGGCTGTGGAGGCTGCACTGAGCCTTGATCACGCCTCCACACTCCAGCCTGGACAGCAGAGAGAAAAAATAAAAGAAGAAATGCATTCTCATTTTCTTTTTTAACTTGTTGACAGAAGGTTCCAGCCGGCCCATAATCTGCGCCCTGGGGGTCCCTGGACGGCCGCGCAGGCCCCTCCCTGAGCCCGCGTGTCGCGGCGGGCGCCCTCACACAGCGAGAGCGGGTTTCCCACGCGGTGTCGCGCCTGTGCCCACCGCTCTGTCCCGGCGTGGCACCGCGGTCTCCGCGTTCCCAGACCTGCGGCCTTCGCCTGGTTCCCTTGGAAACAGAGCTGAGCTGGCGCTCTGGGGCCTGCAGGCTTGGGGAGGACGTGGGCGGCAGGGACCAGCCCAGACCCGGACAGCAAACCCACAGGCCTCGAGGTCACGTGTGGGCTCTGCAGTGCCCTTCAGGGCGCCCCGGCTCCAGGGCGATGGAGCCTGACCCCCACAGAGGCCGAGGCGGCTGAGGACAGGAGAGGCCGGGGGGCTCCCCTACAGGTGGGCACCCGCCTTGTAAACCTGGAAGTCGCGCTGTTGGGAAACACCTTTCTCCCCTGAAGTGAGCGTGTCCTGACTTCCAGCGCCCTGGGTTAGCGGCAGCCTCGGGCTGACGCCGCCTCACCCTCCCACAGGCATCGACTACAAGACGACCACCATCCTGCTGGACGGGCGGCGCGTGAAACTGCAGCTCTGGTGAGTCTGGAGGAGGCGCGAGCATCCCACGCTCCCAGGAGTAACCCCCTGGTTGGCACAGCACCCCCCCTCGGCACAGCACCCCAGGGAGCATCCTCCCCTCCCACCATTGTCACAGCGTCCCAGGGAGCACCCCCAGCCGGCGCAGCACCCCGGGGCACCCCCAGCCAGGACAGCACCCCAGGGAGCACCCCCAGCCAGGACAGCACCCCAGGGGGCACCTCCAGCCAGGACAGCACCCCAGGGAGCACCCCCAGCCAGGATAGCACCCCGAGGGCCACCCCCAGCCAGCAGAGCACCCCGGGAGCCACAGCCCCAGCCTCACTGAAGCAGGGCTTCTCTGAAGGAGGCGGTGGTCTGGTTGTCTGGGTCCCCATCATGCAGAGTAGGGGACCCCACGATGGACACAGCGTTGTGGCCGGGAAAGGGCTTTTGGGGTCAGAACCTGTGGCCTGGTGTTTGTGGGAAGATGCCAGGCAGGGACCAGTGCAGTGTGGTTGAGGCAGCCTGGCATTCCTGGGTCCCCCGTGCCGCACCCAGCGATGCTACTGCACGCCCAGTAGGAAGCTCGGAGGGTCCTGGTGCCAGGGGGGCTGTGACCTGGCCAGCGGGGGAGGAGCCAGACGTGGGGAGGTGAGGACTTGCTGGCCAGCCGGGACCATTGGCTCTGCTGTCTCAGATGTCAGAACCCAGCTCCCACCGGGGGCAAGCCCAGGGCCTCTCCCTCCGCAGCTCCCGGCTCTGGATGGGGGCACCTGTGGCTTCTGCTCCGTGGGGCGGGGGGATGGGGGGCATCCCTCCCCCACTGCTGCCAGCCCTGTGTGACCCTCGCCGGGGCCTCCTGGCTCTTGCTGCCTGCTGGGCCCCTCCCAAGCCACATACGCCTCCAGTTTCAGGACCTTCTCTGACCAGTACCCCCGCCCTGCCCCGTCCAGCGTGGCCAGTCCAGAGAGCCTCTCTCCACCACATCCCCGAGCGCCGTGGCCCTTCTGGCTGCAGAGCTTCGTGCCTCCTGCCCGGCCGGGCCTCAAACCCCCATTCCTCCAGGGCCAGGCCCTCTGGGCGGCCGTTGGGGTCGCCATGAGCCCCCGTCCCCTGCCACCCTCCCACGCCACCCTCCGCCAGCTAGGCATCTGCTGTCCCCTCCCGGCCCTGGGGCCTGCAGGCCCTGAGCTTTGTTCTCAGGTCTCCTCTCCCTCCCCAAGACCGCACGCTCCTGCGGTCCCCGGCCCTCAGGGGCCCCACTCAGCCCACACCCGTCCCGAGCTCGGTGCTCTCCTGAGGATCTGCCTGGCATCAGGCCTGGCGCGCACCCTCCCGAGCGCCACCCCGGCCTGGCTGTTCACATTACCAGACGCCTCCCCGAACCCCCCGATCAGAAGAGTCACCCTCAGCACGCTTCCCTCTGTCACCCCCAGGGTGAGATGCCAGGGGCTCCTGCCAGTGAGCAATCACCCGAGGCCCAGAGGACCCTGACTGCTCACACTTGGCACAGGTGTCAGCTCCGTGCACACTGTCCCCTGACACACTCCACCTTCCAGCTCCGTCCACACTGT